AACTTTTCTACAAGTCATTTTCTAAGACCATGTCCCTTTTGTGTGTCTGAACATGATACCAAACAACTCCTGACACTCTACGGGTGACCAGTTCCAGAGAAGGTCCCTGAAAATGTCTTCTATAGGTTAAAAAAAAAATCCAGATGGAATAATGGTGATCTGATCATCCTGGAACGTGCCCTTGGTTGCTGAGAAATGAAGGAGTCAGAGTACTCTGGTTCTTGATGATGAAGAATTAACAGATCATTTGCCTTCAAATAAGAGAGATATATTGGATGAGGAAATATAGGTATCAAGATTTAGGTTTCATCACCACCCAAGACTTTGGGGAGAAAAAAAATTTGGCACCGATTTTGGAATGGTAGATGATATTACTCAGTCCAGACAAATAAGCTTAAAACCCAACGGTAACTCATAGTTTGGTAACAACTTGACTTAGAGTGAGAAAGGGAGGGAAGGGAAGAAGCAAGCATTTATTAAGCACCAGTGCCAGACACTATAAATACCTCATTTGACCCTCAAAATATCCCTGGAAGGTAGGTGATATTATTATCCACATTTTATAGATGAGGAATATGAGGCACATAGAAGTTTAGTGAATTGTCTAGGATCGCATTACCAATAAGTGGCTGAGGTCAAATTTGAACTCAGGTCTTATTGACTCCAAGCCTAGCACTCTATCCACTGTGCTACCAAGCTGCCACTTAGTAGAAGCCAGTGATATATCAGCTTGTACTTATTCAGCCTGCCCTTCATCAGACTGAGTACCATTTTTCTTTTTAAAATGGACCCCAGAGCAGAATGGAACATTGGAATTTGTAAAGGAAACATTGGAAGAATAATATTAATATTTAATAATAAGAATAATATTAACATTTTATGTATTAAGAATAATAGTTAATATTTTTAGAGATTTTTATAGTTTAGAGTGTGCTTTCCTCAACAATAATCTTGTGAGGTATTATATCCATCTTACAAACTAAAGCTCAAAGAAGTCAAATGACTTGTTCATAATTACACAACTAATAAATGTCAAAGGCTAGATTGGAACTCAAAGTTCCTGACTCCTGTTCTAGTGTTCTTTATGCTACCCTGACTTGCCATAGAGTGTTCTTAATCTACGTACAGGATACCACAGCAACCAACTGACTTACTTTTCATCCAGATAAGTTGATACAAAGATTTTGTGATATCAAATGGCCAAAAGATTCCCCATTTTAAATGTTCACCTCCCTTGAAAGATTTAAAATGATTCAATTTGTAAGCAAGTTAAAACACTCATGGACATAAGTCCAAAACACTTAGCATTTATAGCTTATAGATTTTTTTAACCAATCTATCCTGCCCCATTAGGTACAAAGGTTATAAAATTAGTAAGATTTATATTCTTTACTACACGTCTGCCATCAATGCTAGGCAAGATTGGGCAAATAGCTCTTTGCATAATTGAACTCAATAATTCCCAAATTATAAATGGTTATAGTATGAAGACATGTGACAATACCTACCCAGAAGGATCATATCTGAAACAGAGTGAAGCAAATATATGTAAATATATGTGTGTTTACATAAAAACATACACACATTATCAATCAACATTTATTAAGCACCAACTATGTGTTAGACCCTGTGCTAAGCACTAGGAAGCCCTACTCTCAAAGAGCTTACAGTCTAATTATACGTGTATGTAGCTCCTCCTCTGAGCTCCCTCCCTGTACTAGAGGGAACCCTGAGAGGGTGATGTATACGTATAATAGATGTATATATATATGTATGTATGCAGGTATATATCTTTATGCAGGTGCATGTGGATATGTTTGTGTAAATACATGTGGTATATATACATGTACATATAGAAATATGTCTATGTAAATATATGTACATATGTAAATATATGTACATATATGATGGGGACATTTAAAATTAAATATTACATATTTAATATTAAATATTTAAAATTTTCAAAAAATTTAAAAAATTAAATTTACTTTGCCAATGGATTTTTCACTTTACAAAAGGATTTATCTTAGAATATTTTAAAATGTCCAGTTCTGAATATATATATGTATATACATGCATACATACATACATACATATCATATATATTATATGTATGTATATATAATACATACACACACAGAGAAATATAGGGTTTTTCCCCTTGCCACGAAAATACACAACATACATTTTTTTGCCTGCAAATTTTCAAAAGCATGTCTCTTACATAAAGCAAATTATGCCTGCATTAGTGGCCAACTTTCAAGTACTATGATGCTTTATATACAGATATAGATAACTTTCTGAAGGAAAAAACAAACAAAAAAAGAAATGCACATGCTCTCTTACAAAGATAAATTTACCACCAATCTACTTTGCCCATGGAAAAGACTTAGTGCTCCTTGGACTTATTCCAATTAATGTTCTTGGTCATGGCCATATAGAAACTATATTAAACTAGTTATATACATCAAAATCATGTAGAAAATTAATCAACTGTATTTCAATAAGACTGAAGGTGACTGATTTATACAATCAAAACCAAAAGAAAAAAATCAGCTTTGGGGTTTTGATTTATCTGAGTGTTTTGGTTCCCTGACTTCATTCACAAGATGTTCTGCTCAGTTCTCCAATTTTTGTTTGCTCTTTGCATGCATAGACCCTTGATTGGGGCTGGCATTTAAGTCCTGTTCCTAGATTCCAAATTGGCTAAGAATTTGAATAGTCCTTAACATATAATAGGAACCTAATAAATGCTCATTGAATTTTCAAACTCTGTAAAGATCAGTTGTTTGGGCTGATTTTCCCATAATTTTAAGAACGTATAACTCCATCTCTGATTATTGTAGCAAACGTTGTAAATATACTTTTGTTTGTGCATACACACACACACATACATACCCCATTCCCTGCAGTAGTCTAATTCCTTTGTTCCTAGTAATCCCAAATTCCTGATTTTATGCAGTAATGGGTTAACAGATTATAGTGTTCTAGATTGAGAACTAGAAGGAACCCCAAGGGCCATCTAATCCAGCTTCCTCATTTTACAGACAAGGAAACTGAGGCCCAAAGGGAGGACTTGCCAAAGTTGCGTCTGATGCTGTTAAGCATTTTAGGCAGAATTTGAACACAGGTCCTCTGACTTAAGAGCCAGTGCTCTTTCCTCTGTACATTGCCTTTAGTTCAATGATTTTTTTTTAAATAAGACTACCATTGCAAGCATTACGTTAACCTTCCATTTGCTGCATATATTTGTATAATACCAGCTTGAGAATGAAGAACAATTTTCTCTAAATTTTCTCATCTGTAAAATAAGGGTTTGGGACTAGATGATATTTAAAAGTATCTTTCAGCTCTGAGACTATGAGGCCAATAGCAGAACCCCAAGAAAAACTCAGGGATACAAGAAGCAGGACTGTGTCTGTGCCAACAGTTGTCATTCCAAAATATTTTATTCTACATCTTCTAAACTCAGTTTGTCTTCAATTTGGAAGTAGTAAAGTTCATTCAGAGAAAGTAACAGAAACAGTGCAGCCAAAGAATAGAAAGGGCAGGATGATGGGTTGAGGACATGCTTTGTAACATGTATTAATTTGGGAACAGAGGATGAGAGGATCATAGCTTTAGAGCTGGAGGAGACCTCAAATGTCATTTACAGACGTGGAAACTGACACCCAGAGAAGTCAATCAGCTTGTACAAGGTCAAGTTAGTAGCAGAGCTCATAATGAAACTTAGGACCTTTAACTATAAATCCAGTGTTCCTGCCACCATACCATGTTACTTTTATTATTGTTATTGTTAATGTTTTTTGTTTTTTGTTTTTTATTTTTATAATATCTTTTGGTTTTGCATCACCTACATTTCCCAATATACCTCTTCTCTTCCCTCTCCCAAGAGTCATCCCTTGTAACTCTGGCAATATTTATGACAAACACATAGGAATGTGAGGGTCATATTTAGGGCTGGGCAGTGTCACTGAGGCCACCTAGTCTAAATCCCTCATTTTATAAATCAAGAAACTGAGGCTCAGAGAGGTCATATGCCTTGTTAAGGTCAAACAGTTAAAAAAAAAAGGCAGGCTGATATTTGAATTCAAATTTACTGAATCGCTTTCCCACTTTAATTCCACATTTTGTGATAAACTTTGCTCTTTATTTAATTGTTTTCTGGGCAGCTTACTTAATTTTTATACTTTCAGACCTGAAGTTTATGCTTCTCTGTCTTCGTTATTTGTATTATGTTATTCCTCTGTTCAAAAGCCTATGGTGGTTCCCAATTACCGATATATATTCACATCACAAATCAAATTTGTAATCTTCAGCACATGCTTCAAAGCTCTCATCAATTTCCCCACCTCTTCAAGTGTACCCTTCTCCTCCCTATGCACATCCACAGTTGTCTCCATCACTTTGGATTACACCTTGATTTTGATGTTCTGCTCAAATAATACAAACCTGCTTGAGTGTGGCTTGCTCACTCTTGAGTCCCAAGTCTTTGCATATGCTATCCTCCTGCTTGGAATTCCCTTTCCTTCTATTACCCAAGTTGTATCCCTTGCTTACTTCAAATTCTGCTCAAAGATCATTTTTGTGTGGAGTTTTCTTTGGCTATGGCTATGTTGTTTATTTCCAACATGATTCCAACAGTTCATTGCACAAAATTGTACTAATTTGCAGTGGTGACTGTGATTTCTTCGAGACCTTTTCATGTATGCCCTATTTCCTCAGTTATTATAAGAACAGTGTGGAGAAGGACCACCCTCTTTAATCTTTTCATGGTGCTTAATATAGAGGTTTTTTGCACATGGCAGACCCTCAATTAGTACTGTTGACTGACTGGTAGACACTTTATCATGGAACCATGAAATATAAATGTCATTGTACTGATGATGCACCATTTCACATGTCTAGAAAATGGTACACTCAACAAAGTATTCTCAATGTGATATCCTTCCTATGGTGTGTTCTGTTGTTTCTTGAGTATTTGTCTATGCTCCTTTCAGCTGATCCAATAGCCCCTTCCCCAGAAATCCTTTCCCCATCAAGAGACTCAGATTGCAGAGATTGCTACATTAATGGATGCTGAAGCTACTAAGATGTTGAAACAAAGGATGTGATCAACTGGAAACATCCCTCCTGCTAAAAGTGACATCTAGAAGGTATATGTCTAGCCTATAGAAATCTTGGAGCAAGTTGGAATCATCTCAGGAGACAGAGGAAAATGAAAGTCCTTCTCTAAGCCAGGACTTCTGACTAAGATTTATCAGTAGCAACATCTACCTTTCTGATGAACCATCATCCATTCCTTTTCTGTATCCCTCTATATTTTAAATACAATGTGGATTTTCTTATCTCATCTTTTTTTCTTAATAGTGATACATAGGGTAATTTCAGTATCCTTGTTGATTAATACATTTTTAAGGACCCAAGGCTGTGTCAACACTTACATCATTTGCAACATATTTGAGCTTCTGAGTGTGATCTTGAGGCACATGAAAAAAAAGCAAACCCCTTTTGGAGTAAGTAGTATTTTAAAAGGTAAATTGTGTTCTCTAAGGTATCAGATAATTTTAGCTATACCTGTAGCATACAAAAAGGCAAATGATATTATTCAATCAGCATTTGTTGGAAGCAAGGCCTTGTAGGTGGTACAAGGTGTTATTAATACATGACCCCTGCCCTTAAAAAACTTACAGTAGAGTTGGAGAGTCAGCTCATATGCACATAAATATATAACTAACATATATGATAAGTACCAGATAAGTGGTATGGGAATTCAGCAGAAAGAGATAATTATGGGTTGGGGTAAGGCTTCATGGACAAAAAGAGACTTGATCTGGGTCTTGAAGTATGGGTAGGATTTAGTTTAATAGAAATGGAGGGAAAAGGTTTCCTAAGCAACCATAGCAATGAAAGCAAAGGCAAAGAGGTAGAAATCAATATGGCATGTTTGTGGGACCAACAAACCAACCTGGAACAGAATACATGTTGGATAATATATCCTATTCCATGTAAACATTTATATGGTAAGAGCCTATAATTTATGATGTGATTCCTTTGTTAGTGAGGTTGATAAAGGTGTTTGGTAGAAGTAGGAAGTAGTTGTGGTTAGGTTTATTACCTTTGCTTATTCTGGTCATAAAGCAGGCATGTAGTGGCTCTAGTACTTTATATATTTCAAAATCAAACGAAGTCAGACACATGGTTACCAGTATCACCTCTTCTTCCAATTCTTGAAATTTTTCTATACCAAACAAATAGGTCACTCTTTTATCCCCTGGAATTTTTCATATGCATGACCAATGAAGTCTGAGAGACATTAAAGCCATTTCTTGAGGGAATTTCCCATAAAGACAAATGATAGTATCTTGATTTAGAATCTGAAAGATGAAAGGGGCATTAGGGTCTAGCCTTCTTTCTTATCTCCTACTTCTCATCATAGAGATAAAGAAATTGAGGTCCAGGGACATTAAATGCCTAAAGGTACCCAAGATCACATGGCAAGTTAGTGGCAAAATAAGGCCTAGCACCCATGTCTTATAACCCACAATCTAGTGGTTTTTCCATTCCATTTGTCATGTTTTAAAGTGAAATGGAAACTTGAATTTGATCAGATGAGATAGTCAGTCCATATAGTTCTGACCCTAGATCAGGTATTATTCGGTTTAAATTGTCTAGATTATTGCTTCAACTCTTCCATTTTGTTAGTTTATGTCGATACAATCTAAGTGAGAGACATGGCAAGCTGTGAATAAGCATATTCCAATCCAAATGTTTATACAGGTGCATCCCTGGAGGCCACGTAATGGCCCTTTCATAGGTACAGTGACTTCAGTGATATGCTCAGCTAAGTCAGGACTCTTGGTTCATATAATCAAATTAACTCCTCTAATGAAGACCTTCTTAACCAGCTTTATGTACTTACTGTATGTATTAACAAGTACCTCTGCATATTTATAGATGACTATTTCAATAGTACTTATGTTTTTGAAAATATCAATAGTTATTTGCAGTTATAATCCTCCCTTCTCTATGCAAGTAACTCAAGAATACTTCAGCCGTGGAAAAAAATGGTGCTGAGAAAATGTCATCTACCACAGGAGCACCAAGGCTAGTGCTAGATAGAGTCAGCAATGACAATTCACAAAACAGTTACATATATAAATGCAAAGATCCACACTGGAAGTCTTGCCTCAAGAAAATTTCCTAAGTTATAGCTACACACTGTCAAACTTCTGGATGTTTGCAAATATCTGGATCTTTAATTTTTTATTCCATTTCCATCTATATCAATTCTTGTGTAGACACAGCCCTCATGTTTTTTTTTTTTCCATTTCCATTCACATCAGTCCTTGTGTAGACACAGCCCTCATATCTTCTTTGGTTGTCCCATTTTCAAAATGTTGACTATGTTATATATCTCACAGGTTGTTGAAGAATTAATTTGTAGTTGGATGCAACACTTACATTTTTTGGATGATCAGCCATGCGGAAAAACAAATGTACCTGAGAAGACTTTAAGAAAAGCACATGTATCTCCTGTTCCCACAATAAAAATGTGTGTACCAACTGTGTAACTATTTGTATTGCTTCCTTAAATCTTTATTTATTTAATTCTAAAAATTAAACTGGAACCAGCTAAGACCAAAAATACTCAGGAGAGATCTCAAAGGCCATGTGGAAATCAAGCTGTATAAGAGACCACCTCACTGATAGGTGTTTTCCTAATGGTACCATATGAAGGTAAAAAAGGGGAACCACGTGGACTGACACTGAATTCAGATTTTGATAATTGATTTTCAAATGTGAATTTTCATCCAGATGATTGAAGTCATGTGGAACTCACAGACTAAAACTCCCAAGTGCCCTTTTCAGAGAGAAAATGGTCAAATAAGATCCTTACAAAAGACCCACTTTTTAGCCTGTGTCCATACAAGCAAATGAAAGTAGGGAGTTCTGATGTAGTAGCTATGATCCTTATCAGGATTCAATCTGTATTCTGTTATTCCTCAAACTCTCTTTTTCAGAGCCTTGGACCTGAAATAGCAGAATAATTGATTTACTTCTCCACTGCTACACTTGAGGCTCTGGCACCTGTGAGTCCATAGCCTCATGGTCTGTTAAGGAGAAAAGAGTATTGTTCATGGAAGGAAATTAATATCTTCAAAGCAAGGAAAATGCAACACTCTGTTGTCACAGTTTAATTTGTTTCAGGAGTTGTAGGTCAATTTGAAGCCAGTTTGCACTCCAATTATTTCTGCTAATTCTTGTAGTAAAACCTGATCTTTCTGAGGTTTAGATTTTCTTTGTTACTGGTAAAATGAACCTTCTTAAAAGTTAAAGAAAATTAAATTGACTCATAAGGAAGAACCTTCCTTTCCCAGGAGTTATAATAGCATTTCAGCATATTCAGAAGTCAATGCATTCTCCACCCACCCTATTCCACCTTAAGCCACACATAGTCGCAAGGATATTCAGCAATTAAATTTGTATTATCCATGAGGAGGTGGGAAATAGCAGAAAAGAAGTGGTAAGGAGTACAATGAAGTAAGCCCACCTACTTTATTATATCTAATTTGACTCAACTTTTCATAGTAGAGGTAAAAATAACGTGTAGGGGATATGTGGAGACAAGTAAACTTGTTCTATTTGACTCCAAAGGCAGAACTGGGGTCTATAGGTGGAAGTTATAGGAAAGTAGATTTCATCTGATTTTAAGGAAGGAGATGCTGACATTTTTGAGGTGGACTGCCTCATGAAACAGTGGACTCCTTGTCCCTGGAGATGTTCAGACAGAGAGCAGATAACCAGTTATAGGGATGTTGTGTGGGATATATTCATACCCTGAGTAAAGGCTGAAATAGATGGCCTCTGGGGTTTCATCCAGCTCAAAGATTCTCCCATTCCATGACTTTGACAATTTGTTCAGATAACTATGAGAAATGTTTGTGAGAAAATAACAACCCTGAGAAATAAACTTTCTTCCATGAATTCTTTGTATGGAGACATAATTCTTTGAATCACAGAATTCATGGGGATGATAGAACTTTAGGTCATCTTGTCTACCACTTTTCCTCCAGACAAGCCACACCTAAGCTATTCCAGACAGATAAAAGTTTTTCTTGTTTTTAAAGTGGAACCTATCCCAGTCTCTGACATCCTTCACTGTGAGGAAATTCTTTCTTACGTCTAGCCTAAATCCCTCATGTTGCAGCTTAATCCCATTTCCTCTTGCTTCTTATGAAGATGGGAAACATCTGGTTTTGATTCTCTGTTATAATAAATCTCTTTATGTCCTTGAAGACATCCCTCATCTCTTTCCTCTCCAGGCTAAATAATGCCATTTTTCATGAAAAAAAAATATACTCAGATATTATGTGCTCACTGCTACATGTCAGATACACCCAGTCAAGTGCATCATATGATGTCTGTGCCTAAAACAAAGTCAAGGCCAAGAGCACAAAGACAAATTTACTCTTGTATTCATGAATGAAGTGACAGACCCAACTGTCACTGAATCAACAGTAATAAAAATATATAACGATTATATACCAGAGATATCATCATTAAATAAAGATCACATTAACAAACTATTTTTAAGTGGTTATTTCAAAAGACACATTAAAAAGTCTTAAATAATTAGGTTTAATTTTCTTTTATCCCAGCTCTCCCTATCTAGCAGGAGTGGAATATTCCATTCAGCATTCCACAGCAGGAGCCGCCATTGCTTTGCTAAAAATAGAAGCAGTATTGGAACATTCAGTCAATGGAATAATCCAATTGTCTGCACATTCCTCTGTACTTTGTCATTTACATTTTAATAAATCCCAGGATGCCTGATGCTCTATCAAGTCATACCAAGTGCAGCTAATAACAGGCAGTTACCAGATGCAGTGAGTGTGCCATGACGTACAATTGCTCCAATGCATCCACATTTGGTTTGTATCGTCTGGGAGTTCTAATGATGAAAAGGGGTCTTCTTAAACACAGGAGACAAACATATGATAAAATTCCCACTTAAAGCCCATTTGATTAGCAATCCTTTGAGTTTAAGTGGTCTGCCTATCTTATTCCTTTGTTTATTAAGAGAACTATACGGAAGAATTCAATCCAATTCAACAAATACTTATTGAGCATCTACTTTGTACAAGGTACTGCATTACAGAGAGGGACCACAGGTGAATGAGGCAATTTTTTTGCCCTTCAAGAAGCTTAACAACTTGATTGGGATGAGGGGTGGGGCTGGCATGGTGGAGTCAGTACACGAACGGCTAAAATGAAAGTCAAAATACCCTAAATGCATAAGAGGGGTGCAAATGAAGGACTTTAGAAGTTTAGAGGAGCATGAGACCACATTCAGTAGAGAGGTTCTAAAGACTTCAGAAAGGAAATACCACTTGGATGACAGGTAGGGTTTCAGTAAGACATGGCAACATTGGGAGGGAGGACAACCCACATGGAAAGAACAGTATGAACAAAGCACAGAGGCATAAAGGATAAAGTGTGTTTGGGGAATAGAGATTAGTCTCATTTGGTTGGAACACAAGGTATATGCAGAAGAGCAGTGAGACCCAAATCTGGGGTAAAAAAGATTGAGGCCAGAGCATTAAGTTTATTAGGTAGACAATAATTTATTTTTATTTTAGTGGGTGATTGAGATTGATATGGTAGAAAGAGCACTGAACACGGAATCAGAAACTTGGATTCATGTCCCAGGTCTTCCATTTTCTAGCTGCGTGACCTTGGACAAGTCATTTTTTTTCCCTGTCTGAATCTCAGTTTCCTAATTTGCAAAAGGAAGAGATTAAACAAGATGATCTCAGAATAACAAAATCTCAGAGCTGGAGAGACCTCTCTCCTCTACTCATGTAATCCAACAGGCACATGAACAGGAATTCCTTGGCAAGTGGTCATATAGCCTCTGCTTGAAGACCTCTAGTAATTCAAAACTAATTACCTCCCAAGGTCACATTCCACATTTGGACAGGTCTGTTGTTAGGAAGTTTTCCTAATATATTGTAAAAATCAATTTCCATCCATTTCAACTTCTTTTGCCATGTAGGACCAAATAGTAAAGGTCCAGTCTCTTACATAACAGCTTTTTAAAAACTCAGGATCATGTATTGAGAGCTGGCAAGAACTCTAAGTGTCATTTAAGCCAACCCCCTTGCTTTGCAGATGAGGAAACTGAGACATAGAAATGTTAGCTGCCTCCCAAGATCTCACAGGTTTTAAGTGGCAGAGCCAGGATTCAAATCCAGATCCTTTAACCCTATGACCATCAATCCTTCCATTATATAAGATTATCTCTTGAAGACAATTTTCATTGTTCCCGCTAAGTCTTTTCCTTAGGCAAAATACCCTATTTCCTTAAATTTATTATTTGATGTGACTTTCATTTCTTATAGTGTCTTAATCACCTATCTGGATTTGCTCTATTTGGTTAATGTCCTTGATAAATGTAAAACCCAGAACTAAACATAATAACCCAAAGGTGGACCAAAGTAGAGTACAAAGGTACTATCACATCCCTTATTCTGGAAATCAAATTTCTCTTAATGCAATCTAAGCTTACACTAGCATTACTGAAAACCATGCCATAATTTATTCAAATTGAATTTGTAGTCCACTATGACCCCAAGACCTTTTTTCAGATAAAAAGTTTTTTAGCTGTATTTCCCCCATTCTTCACTTTTGCAGCTGATTTTTTTGAACCTAAGTGAAGAATGTTATTTATCCTTATTAAATCTCATCTTAAGAGAATCCAGTTTATTGTTTTAGGTATCTTGAACTGCTAGGTCCAGCAGATCACCCTAAGTAGATATTATTACTTTCACTACTTTTGTGATTTCATCATTCAACCAGTTCTGAATTTGCTTTACTATGCCATTATACAGTCTGCATCCCTCCATCTTTCCACAAGGATAGCCTGAAAGACCTTGTAAAATGCTTTGATAAAACCTAAGTATACTACACTGACAATGTTTTCCTGGTCTACCAATCTAGATGTCTGATAAAAAAAAAAAAGAAAGAAAAGAATGTTGTTCTGGCATGATCTATTATTAATGAACTTATGGTGAATATTAGTGATTATGAGATGTTTAATGATTTCTTTTCCTAAGAAAGGGGAAAAATACTTTTCTGAATGCTTACAAATTATCTTTTCTAATAATATATTCTAAAGTTTTGACAGGAATTGAAGTCAAGCTTAAAAGACTATAGTTTGCAGAATGTACTCTCTTTTCCTTCTTTTTCTTTTTTCTTAAAATCAGGACTAAGTTTTCCAGTCCCCAATCTTAGAGCATCTCTTCCCTTCTTTATGATAATACCTCAGTCATCACATAACTAATTCTTCCATTACTCTAGGCTGTAGTTTTTCTGACTCTGATAGCTTGAATTCATTAAGGGCAGCTAGGAATTCACTTATTATCTCACCTCATTTTCAACTTAACTATTATCATCCCACCAAATGAAATAAAAAAGCATTTATTAAGTGCTCCCTATGTGCTAAATTCTGGGAATACAAATACAAGCAGAAAGGAAGTCAGTTCCTGCCCCTAAGGAACTTACATTCTAATGGAG